ACCATTTCTTAATTTTTTTCTTTACTCATACCTATGTAGATATCAGAGAAAAGTTTTTTTCACAGAAGTGGCACTTTTAAAAGAAACCTATTATGCCCCTGTTTACAAGATGTAAAATAAGTCTCTGATGCCTCTATAGTGTGTATGTAAAGTTTCACCTCAAAATACCAAAAATGGCTCATTTCCATTGAGTGGTACCGTAAGGTACGGTTCGGGTCGGTACGGGTCACCTTTATCAGGCTTGCGTTTCCACTAAATTATGAGTTTTACAAGTTTAAAATAGTGCATGTTAATGAATTACAGCGATTTTACCGTCTTTACTTCATCAGCACAGCCGCATGTCAGTACAATTATAAAAGACGATTCAATCCTGGTTTGTGGACGTTAAATCAGGTTTATTTTGTACATTAACATAACAGATATCCATCCAGCAGCAGAGATTGAGGCACACTCTGACAGGCACGTGGGAACGGTGGGCAGGGAGAATAGCATTAAAGGCACAGCCAACAACAACAGCTAAATAGTGTTTAGAGCAAAAAATCCAATATTCTGAAAGCTATAATAAATAATCTGATGGGTGTTTTGAGTTTAAACTTTACAGGCACATTCTGGAAACACAAAAGACTGATCTTAAATCTTGAAAAAGGTGTAAAATAGGGTCTCTTTAAAATGCAGTTTAGTGCTCAGCACTACACAGTGCAAGACGTGGCATACAAAAAAAAACTCCACTTCCGCCATTCATCTGCTTCGAAACTTGAAAGATTGGTTGTCACAGACCTCATAGCTAAAAATGTGACATACGCAAAACAAGTTGTGGATAAACATGGGTGTGTTTTGCATGCTGTGTTTTGTCTCTTTCCTGGTGTGCTCTGTTACGCTCTTTACACAGCTTTGTGGCGGCATCCTGGTACATTGCCTGCTTGATTCAGCATTTGTATTACATTTTTAAACATATATATTTTAATATTCATACGATTTTAAAGCATTGATGTGACAAAATTTTTTTGTAATAATAAAGAAAAAAAAAGAACTAGTACAGAATAACAGAAGTGCATCTGCAGTACATTTAATGCATTGATTTAAACTTAAGGTCTGATATAATGTAGTTTCTTGAAACATGCTGCTATGTTTATGTGTAATATTAAACCACAAAAGAGTGTTGAAAAGGGTGTTAAGCAACACCTCATTCGTGGGATATAAAGAGCGCAGTTAATGAGTTTTTAAATATTTACAAAGAGGGATTCTTCCATGCTGAAGTTTTCCTAATTAATCCCTTATCAAACCTTAGATGGCGTTTCTGAAGATACCTCGGAGATGCTTGAGCGCTCTGCTGGAACATGAACAAACACCTCAGCTTTCCATAAATGCCATTGCAGGATTGTCCTGTGATTGTGGCGACCTTTGCATCTGAGAAATGAATGCAATCCATCATGAGTCACAACATGAGATCTGAACTCTTGACACTTTACTAATGACTGACGTATTGATTTAAGCCTTGTTCCTGGTCTTAATGATGGCAAAGAAACAAATGTTTGTCTTCATAATATTTTATTATAATGTTGTACACTCTTAATTATGATTGTTAGAGGTGTACGATATTTAATATCTGCGATTTTTGTTTTATTTTTAAATATGTCAATAAATTGATAAATATGTCAATAAATTGATAAATATGTCAATAAATTGGTAACATTAACATAAACACATAGTTTATGTGCTAATTCTCTCACTAATGACGAATAGCTTATTACCTGGCTATTATTAAGATATGGCTGTTTATTAGTCCTCATAAATTACATATTTAGTACTTGTAAATTTACATATCTCTCAATTGATTATATTTACATCCTTAATTCACTGTAAATTTGTGCACGGTTCCACACAATTCATTCAGGTTGTCGCATTGCAAATCGATTAAGTTAGCTTAAGAATTTTTTTGGCCCTATCATACACCCGCGCGCAATGCGTCTCGCTTGCACATTAATAAAGACAGGATGTACAGCAGTACGCAAATATCTTTACATATGAAAAAGAATTAAAATATTAAGGATATATATAGGACATAAGGATATATATAGGATATAAATATAAAGGATTAAAATATTAAAAAACATTATTTTCTAGCCTACAAATATATAAAAACCAAACTTTCATGCCTTCTTCATCTCGGGGGGCTTTTTCAGTTTATTCATAACAATTGAATAATCAACAAGAATTATTTTATGTTGAGAATAATGTTTTATTTACAACATAAAATTTTAAGTTTTTAAGCAGAGTGAAATGGAATGCGTACAGTTACATTTTGCTATAAGGAAATGAGACATCATCTGACCCAGAAGCTAGCAAACCTAAACAAAATAAGTTTATTTTACTGCCATTTGGATGCGTGCATTGCTGTGGTTTGCAGCGTTTTCTTCCTGCTGGTGTTGAATGATGAGCAGAGATGATGTGGCTATAGCTGTAAGGCCAGATGAGCAGTGGAGGTGGAGTCAGGTCAAACGTCAAACGAAAGGATGAAAAGTGCAGATATCATTAGAATATCTTTTCAAGAGCAGTATGCCTTGCTCTTAAAATATCTCTGTGTCAAACCTTGACTATTTTTAAACTTTTCTTTTTTTCTTTTTTCTTTTATACCTTTGTCATAGTACATCAAAACCAAAGTAAAATGTTCAGTTATCATTCGTCGTGTGTATATGGTAAAGAAAGTTGTTTACATAAATATTTTAATTAAATAATTAATTATATTAAGGATGATAGTATGTATGTATGTATGTATGTATGTATGTGTGTATGTGTATGTGTGTGTATGTGTGTGTGTGTGTGTGTGTGTGTGTGTGTGTGTGTGTGTGTGTGTGTGTGTGTGTGTGTGTGTGTGTGTGTGTGTGTGTGTGTGTGTATGTATGTATATATAAATATATATATATATATATATATATATATATATATATATATATATATATATATATATACACACACAACAGTTCTGTCTTGTTCTTGAATCTGATTGGCTTATAGCCGTGATATATTTAAGTAATATTAGCACCCGTACAGCCTCTTTACCTTTTGTGTATTACTCCGCAACAAACAACCAGGAAAAAGCAGACACTACAGATCTACAGTTTAAAATATGCTTGCTTATCTGTTTAACTGTCAGCTTATCATTTGAATCCAAGGCGGAAGAAAATAGTTCCTCATACAAAAGGGTTTTCGAGACTCTCCATGTCTGATTTTGTTTTTTTATACACCATTATGCCATCAAACAGTTGTATAAACGCAATATCACTTGAGTAGCAGTGCAATATGGCTGTATATCGGCACTGGTGGGGGCACTAAGGCACTCTGTGTGCGACCTCATGCCAACGCACGCCTCCCACCAGTGCCGATATACAGCCATATCGCACTGCTACTCTTATGAAATTGCTCATATATATATATATATATATATATATATATATATATATATATATATATATATATATATATATATATATATATATATATATGTGTGTGTGTGTGTGTGTGTGTGTGTGTGTGTGTGTGTGTGTGTACACTAACTGACAGAAGTCTTGGCGTCGAACACAGTTTGCTAGAGTTGTTGATTATTTGGAAAAGTGGCAAAAGGTGGATTTTTCTGATGAATCATCTGTTAATATGCATCCCAATCATCACCAATACTGCAGAAGACCTACTAGAACCCACATGGAGCCTAGATTCTCACAGAAATCAGTCAAGTTTGGTGAAGGAGAAATCATGGTTTCGGGTTACATTCAGTATGGGGGTGTGCAAGAGATCTGCAGAGTGGATGGCAACATCAACAGCCTGAGGTATCAAGACATTTGTGCTGCCCATTACATTACAAACCACAGGAGAGGGTGAATTCTCCAGCAGGATAGCGCTTCTTCTCATACTTCAGCCTCCACATCAAAGCTCCTGAGAGCAAAGAAGATCAAGGTTCTCCAGGATTGGCCAGCCCAGTCACCAGACATGAACAATATTGAGCATGTTTGGGGTAAGATGGAGGAGGCATTGAAGATGAATCCAAAGACTCTTGATGAACTCTGGGAGTCCTGCAGGAACGCTTTCTTTGCCATTCCAGATGACTTTATTAATCAGTGATGTGAGTCAGTGCAGAGATGTATGGATGCAGTCCTCCAAGCTCATGATGGAGTCAGACACAATATTTATTCTGTCTCCACTGCAGCAGGACTTTATATTCTATACTGGACATTATTTCTGTTCAGTGATGAGACTTTTGTTTAAGCAAAGTCAGACCTTACTAATTAAATAAAAAAAAATCAGGGTATGATCATATTTTATTTAAATCAAATAAGCGTAAACTGAATAGGCAACAAGACTTTTGCCAGGTATGTGCATGTTTATATATATATATATATATATATATATATATATATATATATATATATATATAAAATGTAGTTTCTGTGTTACAGTGTGTGTAGTGGAAAATTTGAGTTTTTCTGCATGGCTTTAGCAAACCAAATCATTGTTTTGACATGTTGCTTGACAACACGCAAATCTGCCAATTATTTGGTTTCTTTGTTGTTTATGTGCATGCTCAAAACCTGAAAGTCAGCATGAAACTGAAATCATGATCTTGTTATTTGCTGTTTTTTTGTTTTGTTTTGTTTTTTACAGTGTATGAGTGACATTGCTTTTTGAATAAGCGCAAATGTAGGCTGGGCTTGGTTTTGTTTATAGAGAACTGATTGGATGATTTTGGTAGCTTTTGGATTGGTGAACCAATTGGAGAACATATATGCATGGATAAATTATTAATAAATAGTACTGTAATACTGCAAATAAGTATTGTAAATGTGTTGAAAAAATCTAGCCCTTTTGAAATATTTGAAAAAAAAAAGGCTAATAATTGTTTCTTCCAATCTAAGCTAAGAAAGTCAGCTTTAAAAATGAATGTAAAAATGTAATGAATGTCAATTAAATATTATCCATTTTGAGGTAATGTCTCTGTATCTGTGCAGTGGGTGTCTCAGGATGAACTCTCGATCGAGAGCCGATTCCCAGGGCTCCCTGGACGAGCCGGACGATGAGGTTATGCCATACAGTGATGATGAGACGGATGCAGAGTTAGAAGATGAACTGGATCAAAGTGTAGACCAGCTGCCAGAACCAGAAACCAGACCTGCGCCTGCAGTTGGTGAGTTTGAAGGCCTTTTGCACAAAATCAGTTCAACAAACTCTGGGTTTCAGTTGACTAAACATTGTAAAGCTGGTTAAGAGTAGGCATGAGTAGATTCTGACGGTATATATCAGTTTCACTGCATCACTGTGTTTACTGCTCTAAAATATGTTCTTTTTAAATGTAAAAAGATTGCCACTTTTTCCCATTGAAGACAATATCATTTATTTGAAGAAACATTTATAATATTTTGGAGCAGTAAACATGTCAGGCTAAATAATTAAAATAAACCATTTACTTCTGCTGTCTTTATTAGTTTCAAAAACACAGATTTCTTTACTACTTGAAATGGTGTCTTTGGAGATCTGTCTTTTTTTTGGCTATAATGTAAGCCACTGCACTGTTCAGGTCAAGGCTTGGATGTTGGTTTATAAGCGATTTGTTTGTTAGATGTTGTCAGAGTCGCGAGCTGAACAGTAGCTTTTGATGTGGAGGCTCCTTTTCTGCTGAACATACTTTTGCCCTTAAAAACTAAATCAAAGAGCCATTAAAACACATTAAACATTTACATGTACCTAAGGAATGGTAAAACACAAAATATTAAATTTTCCAAACCGCATTAAATCTTAAAACTGGTTATATTCACATGCCTTGTTACGATCAGGTTAAGTGGTTTCACTATGATTCATAAATACTTTCTCTTAAATTTAAATTCATTCGTTCATTTTCCTTGGCTTAGTCCCTTATTTATCAGGGGTCACCACAGCGGAGGGAACCGCCAACTGTTCTGGCATATGTTTTACACAGCGAATGCCTTTCCAGCAGCAACCCAGCACTGAGACACACACACACACACTATGGACAATTTAGTTCATCCAATTCCCCTATAGTGCATGTGTTTGGACTGTGGGGGAAACCGGAGCACCCGGAGGAAACCCACACCAACAGGGGGAGAACATACAAACTCCAGACAGAAACGCCAACTGACCCAGCAAGGACTCGAACTAGCAACCTTTTTGCTGTGAGACCACAGTGCTAACCGCTGAGCCACCGTGCCATCCCGTTAATGTAAATTTAATTGACAAATCAAAAAGTTTTTAGTAAAATATAGTCTTTCGACATAATAAAAGTATTATATATATAATATAAATCAATTATTGACAAAAGACAATTTTGACTGAAAAATGCTTTTAGTGTGAAAACGTTTAATTTAATTTGGCAAAAAAATAGATTCTTAGTGACTAAAGGCTCCTACACTCTGGGACGCTTTTCGTTTGCATTTATCGTTAGCGTTTTATGAGACGTTTTTCCGTATTCAAACTCAATAGATTTTCACTGGTGTCGAGCAGAAGAGCATGCAAAATCACTACTTGACGTTAGATGACGCTACACAACTTTAAGCTTCGGACACCTGCTTATAACACAGAAGAAGAGGTGGAGATGAAGTTCACACGCTTGTTATTAAAGTTACTGGTGACTCGAACAAACATGGATGTTCGCCTCCAAGTGCTGTTTACTGTAACTTCAGCAGCTCCGTGCACGTGAACAAAATTGCCGATCTGATTGGTGGAGAAGGTTTGGACGCGGCACGTCAAAACAAAAAAACGAGCATGAGGCGTTTTTTTTTTTTTTAATGACGCTTTTGTGTCTGACGTTTTGGGCGTCACACGCCCGTTATTTAGTCGCAAGGCGTTAAACGTCGACGGAAAATGCGAGCAAAAAACGTCTCTGTGGGCACTGGCCTTAAGAGTGTTTTTTATTGCATCAGACATTGAATGTCACTTTACTCACAGCTGATTGGTCCAGTTTGGATTTGTCATCTTTAACGCAAAATAAATGAATACATTTTCACATTTCTGGGTTTCTCAGCAGCGGAAGTGGTCATAGCTGGGTAACCGTAGAGCACAGTAAATGGGAGAGTACAACAAATCATTTTTTACAATCCTATTTGCTGAAACAATAAAAGAAAAACTACACAATGGTGTTATCAAGACTTTCAGAAAAAGAGCAAAAATAGTGTGACGGCAGCCAGAAGAGAGAACAACGTCAAATTTTACTGTCGCTGCATTACAGACGCCTCACATAAGTGGTAATTTTATGCAAAGATGATATAATACTTACGTAAATACAATTTAAGAGTTCACGCTTAGCTGATGCTTGTTAAGGTAAATGCATGTTTGGCATGTTGTCCTAGGAGAGATACTTGAGCTCTGAGGATTCTTGAACCTAAAGCCTCTTCCACACGGGGCGTCAGCTTCGACGGTTCCCATTCACTTTGAATAGGTGATGTCAGGCGTTGCTGAACTGCATTGTGGATCTGTCTGCGCCGATTCAGTGGCGTTGCTTGCTGCAGAAGTTGGGACTTTCTCAACTTTTCAAGCACTGACGAAAGCGTCAGCCAATCAGATTACTGTATGCAAATACACCAGCTCAGACAGTAGCCGATTGCTGTCTAATCTTATTGGCTGACGCTGCTATGACGATCGCGTCAGCCCCAACTTCAGACACGCTCTGTCAAGCATTGATGCTGAAGCCCCGTGTGAATGGGGCGTGAGGCTTCCTCCAGGGAGCTCAAGAAGCTCTCGAGAGATCTTCCCCGTTATTAAGCTAGGAATGAGGGGAAGGAGTCAGGGTGGAAAGGGGGTTTCTTCAAAAACAATGATGGCTAAGGTAAGGAAAGCAGAGCATTTATGTGCGTTTGGGTTCATCTGATTGGTTGATTGTGATTGTTGATAAGAGACCAGCCGTGGTCGATAATAAGCACATGATCCTCTCTAAATTTGTTTTTATAAAACTTCATAAATGTATATACATCTTTAAGATGAATTTAAGATGCTGATCAGACCATTAAATGCATCATAACGGTCTTGTGAAAAGTGTCCATCCTGCACCTAGCCATGTAGCGCAAGTTGCATCAAAACAACCCACATATTTAAACCTAAAAAAAACTCAAGCTGCATCCAATATCGCATACTATTCAGTAGGTACTGCACTTGAGTTTGAGTTTGTTAGAAAAGTACGATCTACAAGTATGAATGTCAGTAGTTTGAATGGAACTGCTACATCCGCCATTTTGTCATGATTACGTGACCTTTTGTCAGTTGCGTCGCTTTATGCTGCGTTCACTCCAGACGTGGAACGCTCATCAAGCTCAATTGATTTATATGTTAAGTCAATGCAAACGCACGAATAGACATATTGCGGCAGGATATGTGCGAATGGCACGGCGCGAATGACACAAATTTGCGTGAATGGCGCAATGCGAATGACGCACCACGAATTGAGTGTTTTGCACGTTTGGCACGAATCTCTCGATTTCGAAAATCTGAACTTCAGCAGACATTCGTGCCGCGTTAACCAATCAGGAGCTTGCTCTTGTGGGGGGGTGATTTTGACGTATCGCCTGTTGTCGGTGTTCTGGGAGAAATTCTCCAGCCGACACTGACAAAAAGTTCATCAAACTGGGCTGGGCTCAGTCAGAAGCACCGCTGAAAGCCTCCATCATCCAGGCTCAGTTTCTGGAGTTTATGTGCTCACAGAGCTGGATGCACCTCTGAAAGAATCTAGTGGACTTGGAAACGGCCCTAAACGTATCGACGCTGTTTTTCAGCCATCATAAAGCACATAAACACTGTTATTTTCTTCATAAATTCATGTTAGCCTTTTAGCAATGAAGCTAGAGTCACCAGGCAGACAGAAGCCCTGCTCATCACGTGAATCCGCGTCTGTTCTGTAATTAATTTGACGCGTGAATGAAGCGAGTAAACTCAAATGTTCATGCGGCTATTTGCGCGCGAATATCGCATTTTATCCGCATGTTCCGCATCTGCTGTGAACGCAGCATTACTCCCATTCATGAATTCTCTCGTGGTGCATCATGGGCAGGGCCAGACGCAATCTGCGGAAGTTTTTTGCTATTTCTGCTGAGAATTTTGGTAAAAATCTGCAGATTTCTTCGGAATTATTTTGGGAGTATCCAGCAGAGTATCATAACTAAAACCTTAATATATGAAATAAAAAGTAATAAATTACTGAATAAAAACTGAATAAATTTATATTTGCACATTTACTCAAGTAACTAAACATAATTAATGATGGGCTAAAAATCTGCAGAAATCTGCGAAAAATCAGCGAAATTCTGTGCGCGCAGATTCCGTGTGGGCCTAGCCATGGGATAGCGTAGCGTGCATCGGATGCACACTTCAGAATCTTGCCGGAAGTAGTAGGTCATTCGGGTACTTCTCGCATACAGTTTATTCTAACTAAATGCAAACTTACCTGAGTTAAACTATTTTGAATCTAATGATTTTTGTTTCCTTGTTCAGAGGCCGGTTGGAGCGTCCGAGCGAATGACAGGGAATATTGCAAACGGCCAGAGTTTCAGAAGAAGGTCTTTCTGTGCATCAAGAAAAGCAGATACTCTGTAAGTGAATCCATCATTGTTTACAGTGAAACTCCAATCACCCATATCGCACGCTAATTGGTTCACTCATGTTACCAAAGCCGCTTTACTGGAAAGAATTGTACAGTAATGACAGTAAAACAGTGAAATACTATCACCATTTAAAGTAACTGCTTTGTTTTTAAATATGTTGTAGAATATAATGTATTCATGTGATTCAGTGCTGAATGTTCAACATCTAGATTGTTATGTTATCCTTTAGAAATCTCTGATGTCAATGTTGAAAAAAGTTCTGGTGCATCATACTTTTGTCAACATTACAAAGTCAGATTTTTCCCTATTTCCCCAATGAGTTGAAAGAATTCTTAAGGATTGTTTTGAACAACTTAATTATTTACGTTCAGTCCACTTAAAATTGTATAAACGATCGCACTTAACTTGTGTTGGGACAGCATGAGGGAATTGTGTGTGTTTTTTTGCAGTGTATCGTGCAGCTCCACTGCAGGAATCTCAGGCAAAAGCGTCAGATAATGATTTGCAGCATTAAATGTCCCACATGCTGGATTTTTCCACAGTTTACACCATAAACAGTGATCAGAGTGGGCAGATGTTTTTATCTTATCCCTTTGTAGGCCACTCAGTGAAAAATTCACCGTCAATAAGGTTTCCATATATGTTTCTTTGCTCAATATAGAGTTTTACTTTATAATACTTATACAAGTTTCAAATACATTTTAATACCAGTTATACAGTGTTTAACCTAATATTTTTGTCAGTTTGAGTGATATAAGTTGACTAGAAAAGTTTTATTCAACTAAAATTTTTAAGACGGCAATACTTTTTTTTTTTTTTTTACAGTGTACATCTGTCTCTCAAGCAACATATTAATAACTTGGCAAGTAGCTCATGACATGCTAACAATGATTTAATCATATTAGCAGTGTGGTAACTTTCTCAAGCCAATAAGCTTTACTGTCTTTGTTCCCGCTTTCTCAAGTTTTACAGTCATTGCGTGAGTTGGATGAATGAGTATGTTGATAATTTGTTCAAAGGATGATTAATTTTTAGTTTTCAGTAAAGGATCTCTGTGTTGTTAATGCCAAACAGCATCTGCCATCTGTTTTTCTGTCAAATGTTTAATTTGTAGTCTAAAATCACCTTTGAATTTACTTTAAGAACAACAACAAGTGACATACTGTAGTTTAGATGGTATTTCTGCTCAGTCATTATACAGTTGTTTTTTTATATAAATATAAAGAAAGTTTATTTGAGAGTGTCAGTGTTTTACTTGAAGATTTTGCAAATATAAGCAATTCAGCTTGATTTTTTTTTTTATTTAATAGCCCCTTTCTCACAGTAATACTGGTAAATTGCAGTAAATTGCTGGAACATCTTTACTGGTAAATTAAAAAATGTGCTGATCACACACAGTGGAATTTCGACAATTTGTTACAATGTTACAGCTTCTCATTCCGAAAAATTCAGCCCAGGCTCATTGGAAATGTATGGCTTACTGTGCGTTCACACCGAAAGCAGCTAGAGCTTGAGAGAGCTACTGTAGAACTGAAGTCATTCATTTTCAATGGGAGCCGGCAGCGATAAGCGGCAAGGTGCGTCATTGTCGGTGTGGGACAGTTGAAATTAAGTCAACTTTAGGGTAAGAGTTATTGCGCAGTTCAGCGGCAAGCAATCAGAATGGCGAATATATTCATTACAAATCAAAGACAGCATTAAGTTGTTTTGTGCTGTATTTTTGGTGTTGTGCACAGAACTGAAAATATCCTTTATTCATCAACAACGTCCCTGTAAAAAAAAAAAAAAAAGTTTTTGCTGTCACACTGCCCCCCCTAGTGTTCATTTTACTTACAATCTGCGGTTAAACGTACGTTGAAGTATGTTTTTGCAGTTTCACAAAAATGTAGCAAGAGCCTGTGTTGGGAAAATTACCAGAACAAATTGCATAGTGTTTTAAAGCAGGACCTGTTCAAACATGATCTCCTCACCGCATATTACCTGCAATTTTCCAGAAATGTTTGTATGTGTGAAGGGGCTGATGCCACCTATTTATGTACACTCTAAAAAACGTTGAGTTATTTCTTTAACACAGTGGTCGAGTTAAACATATTTGGTGCTTTGTTGGGTTATTAGATTATTGGGTTTATTAGATTATATAATAATAACTCAACCAGTTGGGTTAAAATTTTGAATTTTAACAGTCAACTGATTTAACTGACACAGAACAGCTGTATATATATATATATATATATATATATATATATATATATATATATATATATATATATATATATATATATATATATATATATATATATATTGTATTGTATATATTGCGTTGTAAAGTTTATTTAAGCTTTAACGTAATAATATTGTTATTTTTTTTTATCAAATGACCTCTCTGTGCTGTGTTTTTTCTATTAGTTTCACCAGCACTCTTAATTATTGATGATACAAACGCACACTTCATAGCCGATAAAACGCTTTCTCTACCTCCCGTGATCATCTCTACAGTTTTTTGGGAGAAAATGAAACGCATATTTGGGATATTCGGCTGTCAATCTCAGCTTTAACACCCAGCGGAGACATTCATTAATTTATACAGCCATAATGCAAAAATAATAGTAGTACTTCAATCCTCTCCACCAATCAGCTGGTGTGTGGGGTGCGGTCTGGCGAAAAATGGCTGCTGGCGCGTCATCCAGGTGGATGCTGCACACTGGTGGTGGATGAGGGGATTCCACCCAATGTGTAAAGCTCTTTGAGTGCCCAGAAAAGCGCTATATAAATGTAAGGTATTATTATTATTATTATTATTATTATTATTATTATTATTATTATTATTATTAATAGTAAAACCAGAATGGAAAAAATAAATTTTAATCAAAATAACCCAATGCATTGGGTTGTATAATTTAACCCAATGCATTGGGTTATTTTGATTAAAATTTATTTGTTTAAAATAACCCATAGTTGGGAAGGTGCTATAAGTATGGTGCGCTGTATTTTTAACCCAACTATTTTAACAGAGTAGCTGTTTGTGAAATTTATTAGTAATTTAAAATTCTTAGTTTAGCCACTCATAGTGACTCTACACTGTAAAAAATGCCTGTTAATCAAGAGCTTCCATATTTTGTGATTTACAAGTGTTTATTTACGGGTGTGAATTGCATTATGGGATGTTGATCTCTGCTTTGTCCTCTTTAATGTTGAAAATTCAACTCTACAGTTTAGCAAAGTGACTTTTATTAACATTTTAGTCTTTTTTTAGTAATATAATGTACAAGAAATTATATAAAATAACAGAAAATGCTCTGGCAGTTTATTACACGGTTTTTATAGCGTAATATACAACACCAACTCAGACAATATATCATTTTTTAATATGTTAAGTTTTCATAAATTAACTTTTCAAACTTTTTAAGGTTAAAAGTTGTTGGAAGAAAGATTAAAATCCCATAATGCAATTTAAAAGCATAAATAAAGAAGGAAAAATAAAAACAGGAATAACAAAATACAGAAAACTGCTATTTTACAGATATTATTTTACAGTGTATATGGCATTTTTTTTCTGTCATACTTTTGGACCTTTAAACACAACTCCAGGAAGCAGACAGAAAATAAAGTAACATGTCATGCATTTTGTTCATAATTAGTTATGCTGTAATCTTTTACGCTGTATTAATCAACCCTCAAACCACTCTAATGCATTTAAGGTGAGGCCTTAATTATGGTCTTAATTGGTAGTTTTATGTCATTTTCTTATGTCATTTACTTGTTAATCTCCTCCACGTTGAATGGAGCTGCTGCTTATTTAAATTCTCTGGTATGACAATCATCTTCGGCTGGAAAAACAAGTTATTCAGTGTTGAATAACTGCAGGTTTGCAGATACAAGCAATAGACAGCAGTGACTGAATTTGTCCTGAGGTTGAAATGTTACCCTACGAGAGCATCCGCAGTCAGATTTAGAAATGCTGGGATTTACATGAATGGAAATCTGCTGGGTTTGGGAACGCAGGAATTTTGATTGAGAGAGAGAGCTGGAGGGATAGCTCACCTAAACATGAACATTTACTCACCATTTACTTGCCCTTCTTTGAGTTTATTTGTTCTGTCGAACACAAAAGAAGATTTTTTAAGGAATGTTGGAAATATGTAACCACTGACTTTTTAAGTTAACTTATTAGTATTTATAAATGTAAGTGGTTTAAATATAAAACAATTAAGTTTTCTCAAAACAAAACTCATTTTAAATATTAAATATTAAAAAACATTATTTTCTTTCTTTCTTTTTTCTTTTTTTTCTTTTCTTTTTTCTTTCTTTCTTTCTTTCTTTTTTCTTTTTTTCTTTTCTTTTTTTTTCTTTCTTTCTTTTTTCTTTTTCCTTTTCTTTCTTTCTTTCTTTCTTTCTTTCTTTCTTTCTTTCTTTCTTTCTTTCTTTCTTTCTTTCTTTCTTTCTTTCTTTCTTTCTTTCTTTCTTTTTTCATCTTTCTTTCTTTCTTTCTTTCATCTTTCTTTCTTTCTTTCTTTCTTTCTTTTTTTGTGTATTCTGTCCTTCTTTCCTTCCTTTCTTTTTTCCTTTCTTTTTTCCTTTTCCTTTCTTTCTTTTTTCCTTTTTTCCTGTCTCCTTTTTTTCATTCCTTTAGTCCTTCATTTGTTTATTCCTTCATTTGTTATTTCCTTCATTCGTTCATTTCTTTTTCATTGCCTTCTTTTTTCCTATTCTTTCCTTTTTCCTTTATTCCATCCTTTCATTTAATTAATTAATCAACTAAAAAATAATGCCTTATTTCCTTCCCTTTTCCTGCTTTTCTTCTTTTTTTCCTTTTTCCCTTCCTTTCCTTTTTCTTCCTTCATTCCTTCTTTCTGTTCTCTCTTCCATTAATTAATTCATTTATTCATTCCTTTCTTTCTTCCTTTTTTTCATGTATTTATTCCTTCATTCCTTCCTTTCTTTTAAATTTTTTCCTTATTTTCTCTTTTCATTCATTCATTCATTCATTCATTCATTCATTCATTCATTCATTCATTCATTCATTCATTCATCCCATTTTGCTTCTTTCCATTTCCCTTCCTTCCTTTCTTTTTCCCTTCCTTTTTTCTGCCCTCACTTCCTTCTTTTTGTCCTCCTTTTCATTCATTCATTCATTCATTCATTTTAAATAAGTAGTTTGTATAAACAGCAAAGATAATTTTTTGTCTATATATAATTATTCACATTTTGTGATATTTACCATAAAAAAACACAAATTTTAAACATTAATTTATCTTGTTTTTGCCATGATGACCGTAGATAATATTTCACCAATTTTATTTGCAAGATATTAGTTTGTTTTTTACCAAATCAGAAAAAATACTATTAGCCCTCCTGTTAAATTACAATTATTTTTTTTTCCACAATTACTGTTTAAGAGAGAGATTTTTTTTTACATAATAGTTTTAATAACTCATCTCTAATAACTGATTTATTTTATCTTTGCCATGATGACAGTAAATAATATTTGACTAGATATTTTTCAAGACACTTCTATACAGCTTAAAGTGACATTTAAAGGCTTAATTAGGGAAGTTAGGGTAATTAAGCAAGTCATTGTATAGCAGTGGTTTGCTCTGTAGACAATTAAAAGCGAATATTGCTTAAGAGGGCTAATAATATTGAGCTTAAAATGCTTTTAAAAAAAATTAAAAACTGCTTTTATCCTAGTTGAAATTAAACAAGACTTTCTCCAGAAGAAAAAATATTATCAGAATTACTGTGAAAATATCTTTATTCCATTAAATATCACTATATAAATACTTGAAAAAGAATAAATATTACTCAGGAGGGCTAATAATTTAGCCTTCATCTGTGTATATAACCAGACTAAAAGAAATAAACCTTATTCAGAGGAAAAATACAATAAGAAATACTATGAAAAAGTGTCCTTGCTCTGTTAGACAGGAAATATATATTTTTAAATAATTAACATTTCTAATAATCTTGCTCTTATCTGTACAGTTTGTTCTATAATGACCTTTAGAGATGTTAAAGTGATGGATTTATAATTTTGGATGTCTTTTTATTTATAGGGAAACGCAATCAAGACCTACAAATACAATGTGTTAACCTTCCTGCCGCTGAATCTGTATGAGCAGTTCAAGAGAGCTGCTAACCTCTACTTTCTGTGTCTGCTGGTCCTGCAGGTCTGAACCAACAACACACCAACACACTGATGCTTATGATGATGGACAAACTACACTGTAGATTATACGTAATAGGATAGTTATCTAAAAAATTTACAAACTTAAAAAAATGTAAAACAATAGAATTAGAGTAAACAAAATGTGAGAGAGTGTGTGTAAGAACTTTACGAAAGACTAAAAATAAAAAAAAATTAAATGTAAAAAATTTATAAATAATTAATATAATATATTATTTTTTTTAAATGTGATTATTTTAGTATTCTATTTATTATTTATATTTATTATTATATAATATTTATTTATTTTATAATTTTATTTTATATGTAATTTTTGTTGATTATATAAACGAGCAATATCACATGAGTAGCAATGCGATGTGGCTGTAAATCGGCAATGGTGGGAGGCGTGCATTGGCTCGAAGCCACAGGCCGAGTACCTTGGTGTCCCACCAGTGACTCTATACAGCCATATCACACAGCTACGAGTGTGATGTTGGGTTTATACAACAGTTCAACGCACAATCGTGTATATAAAAAAAGAAAATCAAACACGGAGAGTCTCAAAAATCCTTTTCTATGAGGAACTACTTTCTTCCGCCATTCATACACATCTGCTGCTGACGGTCAGAACAGCAGAAACCGCTGCTAATTCACCAATGTCTCTAGAGCTAGTGTTTGAATGATTCTCTAGCGTAATGTCTAAAGCCGGGGTGGCCAGTCCTGTTCCTGGAGATCTACCTTCCTGCAGATTTCAGTTGCAACCCTTATCAAACACACCTGTCTGTAATTATCAAGTGGATTTCAGGTCCTAATTAATTGGTTCAGGTGGGTTTGATCAGGGTAGGAGCTAAACTGTACAGGAAGGTAGATCTCCAGGAACAGGATTGAGCACCCCTGGTCTAAAGTGATGACAAAACAGCTGATTTGGCTCACATTTTAAGATTATAAGGCTGAACGGCATGAAATGTCATCAGTCTACAGAGATTTCCCAGTATTTCTATGTTGCAGTCCGAAGGCCACAATAGTTAACCCCGAAAAAGCCAAAGCAAAGCAAACACTAGCAGATTACTGGTATAAATACAGCACTATAACATACAAAAGAGAGAGAGATCGACTTAGAAAGTCACTTTCCTTTTTTATAATGATTTGATCAGCTGTAGTTTGAAATTTAGGCTGCATTTTTCTTCCCTAAGGGCTTATTAATCGGTCTCTGTTGCCATTTTTTGACAAAATGTTAACCGTCTTTGCTCTGCTCATTATGACAGGCTGATGGCTGCCAATGTGCTGAATATCCAAAATTATAAATATTTAAAATAGGCACTATCCTTATAAATAACCTGCATGGTTGCGATCTAAACAACTACATTCTCGACTAAAAAAACCTTTAAAGTACATTATGTTGCCCAACAGCTGCAATATTTGTCTAACTGCAGAGTGTGAAGAGGCTGTATGAGTGCTGTTATTGCAAAATATTGCACAGCTATCAGCCAATCAGATTCAAGAACCAGACAGAACTGTTGTATAAATTATTATATTCAGATAAATGTATTAATTTACTGCACTTTCGTCTATCTGTTTTTAAATGTTTGACTAATAATCAATACAAATACATTCAGTATTAAAACGTATTGTTGTTTTTGTAAAATATGGATATACAGTATGATCTTCAGTCTATATATTTTAAAACCGACTATTAAATTTATTTAATTTAAAATTTTTAGGCTATTATAAATTAAGATAAGACAAAAAAATGCATGTTTAAAAGTAAAAATGTGTGTATATATATATATATCAAGTTTCCATTTAATTGATCAATTAGTTTGTTACATAATTAAAACAAAAAATATTATATTTAAACATACTATATACACAAATATTAAAAATATATAAATAAAAATGTTCATGTTTGTTTTTTTATTTTATTTTGTGAATGATATGAACATGCTGTGTGTGTTTGTGTGGTCAGATTATTCCTCAAATCTCCACTCTACCGTGGTACACGACTCTGGTTCCGCTGGTGCTGGTTTTGGGCATCACTGCTATTAAAGACCTGGTGGACGATCTGGTGAGTATGTGCGTGTATGTGTGTACACGTGTTTCTGCTGTACCCACACATGCTCCTGCTTTCTGTCAGCTGACACCGGTCTCTGTTTAAAGGCACGACACCGGATGGATAAAGAAATCAACAATAGAAAGTGTGACGTGCTGCTGAACGGCAGGTGAGAACTACACTGCAGCAGCTTTAATGATGAAGATCAGCATTGCATTAACTCATCATTCATCCACTCGTTCAACCACTCATTCATTCACTCATTCATTCATTCATTCAATTATTCATTCATTCATTCATTCATTCATTTACTCTCTCTGTCTGTCAGGTTTGTGGAGACCAGATGGATGAACCTGCAGGTTGGAGACGTGGTCAGACTACACAAAAATGACTTCATCCCGGTATGAGGAGTAAACACACAAACACACATACAACACTTGTTTGTTTGCCTTAAAGATCATTCGATTAATTATTTTATTCATTTTTTTCTTCCTTTCTTCCTTTCTTTCTTTCTTTCTTTCTTTCTTTCTTTCTTTCTTTCTTTCTTTCTTTCTTTCTTAATTTCTTTCTTTCTTCATTCCGTCTTTCCTTTTGTTTGTTCGTTCCTACCATCCTTCCTTTTCCTTCCTTCCTTCCTCTCTTCATTCATTCATTCATTCATTCATTCATTTTCCTTGGTTCCTTTTTTCCTCCCTACCCTTTTCCTTCCTTCATTTGGTCCTCTCAATAATTAGTTAATTGATTATTTAATTCATTCATTCATTCTATTTTTTCTTTGTTCCTTATTTATCCCTTCCATCCTTTTCCCTTCCTTCCCTTTGTCCTTCCTTTCTTTTTTCTTCCTTATTTCCTTCTGTCCTCCCTTCCATTCATTCATTTCTTCCTTCCTTTTTTATTTTTTCCTTCTTTCCTTTTTAAATTTCTTCTTTCCTTCCTTTTTTTCCATTCCTTCCTTTCTCTTTTCATTCCTTCCCTCCTTTCGTCCTCACTTTCATTCATTCATTTTTTCATTAATTTATTCCTTTCTTCCATTTTTCATTCCTACCTTCCTTCCTTTTTTCATTAATTAATTAATTCCTTTTAAAAATTTCTTCCTTTTTTAAATTCCTTCCTTTTCATTCCTTTTTCTCTTCTTTCATTTCTTCTTTCCTTCCTTTTCATTCATTCATTCATTACGTTTTTCATTGATTCATTCCTTTCTTTTTCCTTCCTTTTTCTCCCTTCTATTCATTCATACATTTATTCATTCATTCACTCATTCCTACATTCTAGTCTTCTTCCTTCCTTCCTTCCTTCCTTCCTTCCTTCCTGTTTAGTCATTCATTCTTCACTTTTTTGTTTCTTTTTTTCCCCTTCTTTCATTCATTCATTCATTCATTCATTCATTCATTCATTCATACATATTTGGTAATATTTTATAGAATACATTCCTTGTTTTTTATTTACTTTGTCTTTAACTGTGTTTGCCTTTTATTTAAACATTAGATTGTTAAATATTGTACCTTGGATATTCATTTGATGTCATGTTTATGCCTGTTTGTCCTTTAATTATACTATTGTAAATGTGTCTTTATCCCTCCAGTCTCTTCATTCATTCATTTTGTAAGTTTATTTCTCATGTCTGCCTGTGTTTTGACCTCATGTAGGCCGATATTATGTTGTTGTCCACTTCAAACCCCAACAGTCTGTGTTATGTTGAAACTGCGGAGCTCGACGGGTGAGAAAAACACACACAAACACACACACACACACACACTGTGTGTCATTTACATTACTGCACATTTACACACTCAGACAGCCCCTTTTATTTAGTAATCTGTTAACTAGCACAATGGTTTTATGTTTTTTTTTTTATTGTGAATCCTTTGAAAATAAAGTATTATATCTTTTATACTTTTTAATTAAATCTTAAATAATGTTTTAGATTTTTATCTTATGTATTATACATTGTAGTTTATGTATTTTTGTTGTTATGAAAATATATGTTTTTTGGTCAGCTTTGTCTCTAAATATTATCTATTTTGTCATAAAATAATACAATAGCAAAAATAATAATAAAAAATAATAAATTGCAATAAACTCTAAACTCTTTAAATATTACAGAGCTTGTTTACATGCTGAGTTTTAAACTTTAAATGCTTCATACAGTCAAAATTCTTTCATAATCATACATGCATTACTGGGGATTATGTGTTGTAACGTCAATCTAGAGTCATTAGTGTGTGTGAACATGATTCATAATAGAAATTGTGTAATGGATGCTCTTTGTCTAGGTGTCTGTTCTGTTTGTTGAGTCCAAACACACTTTATTTTGACTTCAACTTGCATAGACTGTTGACTGAACTATTGATAATGTTATATATAATTCCAACTCTAAATTGTAATAGTAATGTATAGTAAAATTTATCATGTATTTTAGTTAAATCTGTATATTTATTTAAATCCTAAAATGCCGAATTTGTTAGTGAATTAAGTATATAAATTAATATCCCAATCATATAGAATAATATAAATGATTATGCCATGTTTTTTCTCTCATTTTAAAAAACCTATTTCAATTATTAATTTATTTTTAAAAAATGTAATTAATATAATATAAAAATACTTCTAAAATAATAAAAGATAAATCCATAAAACCAATAAGAATAACAAAAACGTAAAACAAAATGACTAAAACCTCATTAAAATTAAATTAACAGAATATATTGTTGAATTCAGACTATGAGTTTGAGACTTTAAATTAGTTTCACTATAGCAGTGACAGTGAATGACAACATTTTACAAGCATATACTCATGATTCAGCTTCTGTGACTGCGCTTTATCATTGTGCTTCATAAAGGAGAATGCGAGTTTGTTTAGCTGTTTGCTTGGCTTTTATGAGTGTAGTTTCTCATTGTCTTGCTTGTTTCATTGCGTTGTATGTTCAGAGAGACGAATCTGAAGTTTAAGATGGGCCTGAAAGTGACGGATGAGCGTCTTCAAGAGGAGCAGCAGTTGTCTCAATTTAATGGTGTGTGCATATGAGAGACTTTAATATATTAATTCATCGTTTCCTGCTCTAATTTCATTTCTTTCATCTTTGACATGATGACAGTAGATAATACTTCACTAATTACTTTATTTTAAGGAACAATTCTTGCTATTACCTATGACTTTTGGCTAAGTAAACTCCTAATTTGCTGCTTGTAGTTTTGTTAATAGTTATTAAGGTAGTTGTTGGATTTAGATATTGGGTAGGATTAGGGATGTAGATTAAGATCATGCTCGATATGTCTTTTATAAATACTTAAAAACAGCCAATATATTTATAAAAGGCAGGTAAAAAGTCAGTAGCTACTTGTGAGAAATGGTCTCTAAATTAAACTCTTAACTAGGTTAATTAGGCTAGTTAGGGTAATTAGACAACTCATTGGACAACACTGGTTTGTTCTATAGCTTATCAGAAATTAATTTCTTAACAGGGCTAATGTCATTCATCTTAAAAATGTATTGTAGCCAAACTAAAAGACTAAGGGCTCTATTATACACCCGACGCAATGTGGCGCAAGGCGCAACGCAAGACTTGTTTGGTACTTTCAGCTTGGCGCAAGAGTCGTTTTGAGGCGTTGCGCCACGCTCTTTAAATAGCAAATGCATTTGCTCTCATATGTAGGCGTATTTAGGCGCTGCTGGCGCGTTGCTATTTTGAGAAACTATAATAGATTTTTTTATTAGACCAAAACAAACCCGGTCTAAACTCCAGTGCAGAGTTGCGCCTCACTTACAGTACACACTGCTTAATACACACAAGATGTAGAGCAATACGCAAATATATTTACATATGAAAAAATTTAAATATTAAGGATAAATATAGGATATGATAAATAAATAAATAAATATATATATATATATATAGGATATAAATATAAAGGATAAAAATATTACAAAACATATTATTTTCAAGCCTACTTAAATAAAAAAACCACTGCTTTTATGCCTTCTTCATCTCGGGAGGCTTTTTAAGTACATTCATAACAATTTGCTTTTGTATAATGTTATTATTATTAGCAGTATTATTTATTATATCCATATTTATATTTGTTTTATTTAAAACAAGCTTAGATTTGTTCACCTGCAGGTTTTAGACCATATGGGGCACAGCATGTGTTTTAGGATATAACTCAGGTGTTTGAGCACACTTCGTTATTATTGTTGAAATTAGAACTGAATTTAGGAATAGTTTTGAAACAAATATTTGCGCTAAACAAACGCAATTAATTATTTATAGGCTAATTGATGTCTGTGCGTAAAGGTTTCCTTATCCACGAAAGTGAAAGTGGATCATTCTCGCACGGTAGATGCTCTGTTTAACTGTTATCTTGCTAGTGAAATGCTCAGTTTTTCCACTTACACTTACGTTACGTCATGTAAATAGCAAATGCGCTTATCGCGCGACGCAACTGGCTCTTGTTGAGAACAGGAGATGAGACTCTGATTGGTTTATTCTCAAAGCACACCTATGACTCATTAAGAAAATAAACTCAAGCCTTTTAGACCATGCGCCATGGCGCAAAGTGGATTTTTTTCGTCCTTAAATTAGCAAAAATGCATTCTGACACGCCCTGAAAGTGTTTGCGCCCTGCGCTTTGCACTCTGCACATGGACCGTCAAAATAGAGCCTTTCTCTAGAAGAAAATAATAATAGGAAATACTACAAAAAAGTTCCTTGCTCTATGAGCAGCACATTGTAAATATTTATTAAAGAACAAAAATTTCACAGGCTTATAATTTAGTCTTCAACTGTGTATTTTTGTGAGGTGTTTTTTTTTTTTTTTTTTTTTGGAGTTTTAGTAGGTCTGATTGTTTATTGTGTGTGTGTGTGTGTGTGTGTGTGTGTCTATCAGCACTAGTGATGTGTGAGGAGCCCAACAACCGTCTGGATAAGTTTGTCGGGACGATGATCTGGGAGTCGCAGAGTTACGCGCTCGACCTCGACAACATGCTGCTGCGAGGATGCAAAGTCCGTAACACTGACATATGTCACGGCCTGGTCATATTCGCAGGTCAGAACAAACACACACTTGTACAGCTATCTTTATGAGGACTTCTCAGCTGTAATGATGTTTCTACAGACTCTATATTCTCTCCACCTCCCCTTAAACCAACCCTCACAGGACACAATCTGTAGTCTACATTTTCAAAATACTTCATTCTGTCTGAATTATGAACTGTTTTCTTTATGAAGACCAAAACAATTGAACCACAAGAACAAATTGTACTGAAATTGCTATAATTGTCTGGACATTTGGCCCCTTACAAAGTGAGGAATACGAGGTATACACACACACACGTTTGTTTTTGTGAATTGTAAGGATATTGCGTTGGTCTCCATTGTTTTATATTAGACAAAGTGTATTTTCTATCACCCTACCTCAATACCCTTATAAAAAGTCCCTTTGTTCATGGACATTGTCCTCAAATGTCACCTACTCTTTCTAATAGCTGTGTCATACTCATGTCATATAAATTCATGTACTGATATGTCTCAAACACACATACACACACCTTCAGGCTTCAGTGTTGTGACCATGTGTTTCTCAAAGCATCTGTAATGTTTGGCTTTCAGGAAACGACACTAAAATCATGAGGAACGGAGGAAAGACCAGGTTCAAACGCACCAGAATAGACAAACTCATGAACTACATGGTTTACACGGTGAGTTAAACCTGTGCATCATTACTATTTTTGAAGAACATTGATAGAGTAGTTCATTTTAAAAATTATTTACTCCTCCTCAAGCCATTCTCGGTTTTTATGACTTTCTTCTTTCAGATGAACATAGTCGCAGTAGTTTTACATTTGATTCTGGCTCTTCCATGATGTATAATGCTGTTGGATAGTTTTATTTATGTATTTTTTTACATTAAATTATTACAGGTTAGTTCAATGTCTACTGGTTTAGTTTTGTGGCATGTAGCTATGTAATAAGCCGGATAATGAACATCCAGCCGGTGGTTATTGCAGAATAAAGCCTCTCAGTCGTATATAACAGCTGCTGATAAACCTGTCAGGCTTTATTCTAACAAGAACTGAACATTATCTCATACTTACTAAACAGCTGTCTGGAATACTCGATAGGGTATATGCCGAAGCGTGCTAATGGGACTTATAATTAGCCAGTAAACTGAGTTAAGTGATTCCGGCGAACTGCATGCCAATGTAAAAAACAGCGCGTTTGAGGTCTGCTTTCTTTAAAAATCAGCGATCTCCACTTGCCGAGTGATATCTGATATAAAGTGGGTCTCAGATTGTACAAGAAGCACTGCATTAAATTACATTTCCCCCGCCATATCTTTATAATATGAGCACTTATTTTACCCCAGTATATTCAATGGAGCTTCAGCACTAGCCTGCCAATTCTGATGGGCGCATGCGAGAAAATGGCTTTTTGTCTCGTTTTACGCTTAAGCAACTAAATGAATGCCAAAGTTTATTTAACTGAATGTATTTTAATGACATTACAACATCGATGCTGTAAAAGGAAACGTATAAAATGGAAAAAAATTCACAATAACAGGTCACCAGAAGAATGGGAAAAGCACTAGCTCGGCATATACCCTATTCTGATTGGTAAGTCATGACATTCCCAGATAACAACCGCTAAATAACATATGCTCGTCTGGTATTTTCTGTCAGCTTTGCGTCTAATTAAAGAATAAATAAACTATTATGATTCAGAACAGTGTGTCTAATTTTTAAGTTTTGTGGCAAGTAGCCTTGTAATAAGCAGGATAAAGTATATCCTGGTAGTTTTTTTCACAGAATAAAGCCCTTCAGCCTTATTAAAACTGCCTTGGCTTTGCTTCGGGCTGCCGATAAGCCTGTCAGGCTTTATTCTGTGATAACCTTCTGGATGTACTTTATTACTTACTTATCCTATTGTTCTTTCTGTAGATCTTTGTTTTGTTGGTGTTGTTGTGTGCTGGTCTGGCCATCGGACACACATACTGGTACGAGAGCATCGGCTCCAAGGCCTGGTATTTGATTGACGGACTGGACTACACTTCATCCTACAGAGGTTTCCTCAGTTTCTGGGGCTACATCATCATCCTCAACACCATGGTGCCCATCTCGCTTTACGTCAGGTATAGTTATGGATGCTTCATTTACATCTGATGCTTTGAAATAGTTGTCAATCATTTGTTTTCAGTTAGCTATTCAGGGGTGTGTTTCCCAAACCATTGTCAGTCAACTAAGATCACAATTCCGTTCTTACGAATAGAGTTCAGCAATTCTGTATTTCCAGAATCCATTGTTACAATTAGGGCCAGGAGATTTAATCAAGATGATTTTGTCAGTAAAGCCCGTTCTTGTAAACATCCATCATGTACGTTTAGTCCTAGTTCACTGCTAGTAGTCTTAGATGGAATCTGCATGCAGAAGTCTGCTCATTTACAGATTTATTTTACCCATCATTGAATCTGTTCACATGCATTGAAAATTGAAAAGGGGAACAAAAACCTATTTGGGACTTGTGTGTGAATATTTTGACGACAAAACATATTTTAATAAAATGTGTATTCTTAAATGATATTAGAGAACGTTTTTATTTGGGAAATATTTTAATTCTTCAGGAGGAAGATTTTGAAATATTTACCATTAATCAAATTGAAAAATGTATACAGTATACTCTCACTGGCCACTTTATTAGGTTCACCTGTCCAACTGCTCAACACCAATTTCGAATCAGCCAATCACATGGCAGCAACTCAATGCATTTAGTCATGTAGACATGGTCAAGACAATCTGCTGCAGTTCAAACTGAGCATCACAATGAGGAAGAGAAGTCATTTAAGTGGCTTTAAACGTGGCATGGTTGCTAATTAGAGATGGGCTGGTCTGAGTATTTCAGAAACTGCTGATCTACTGGGAATTTTATGCACAACCATTTCTAGGGTTTACAGGAAATGGTCTGAAAATAAGAAAATATCCAGTGAGCGGCAGTTCTGTGGGCGCAAATGCCTTGTTGATGCCAGAGGTCAGAGGAGAATGGCCAAACTGGTTCCAGCTGATAGGACAGCTCAAATAAGCACTCGTTACAACCGAGGTGTGTAGAAGAGCATCTTTGAACACACAACACGTCCAACCTTGAGGTGGATGGGCTACAGCAGCAGAAGACCACACCGGGTGCCACTCCTGTCAGCTAAGAGCAGGAAACTGAGGCTACAATTCACACAGGCTCACCAAAACTGGACAATAGAAGATTGGAGAAACGTTGCCTGCTCTGATGAGTCTCCATTTCTGCTGTGACATTCGGATGGTCGGGTCAGAATTTGGCATCAACAACATGAAAGCATGAATCCATCCTGCCTTTAATCAACAGTTCAGGCTGGTGGTGGTGGTGTAATGGTGTGGGGGAGATTTTCTTGGCACACTTTGTGCTCATTAGTACCAATTGAGTATTGGTCAACACCACAGCCTACCTGAGTATTGTTGCTGACCATGTCTATCCCTTTATGACCACAGTGTACACATCTTCTGATGGCTACTTCCAGCAGGATAACATGCTGTGTCATAAAGCGTGAATTATATCAGACTGGTTTCCTGAACATGACAATAAGATCACTGTACTCAAATGGCCTTCACAGTACCCAGAGCTCAATCCAATAGAGTGCCTTTGGGATGTAGTGGAACGGCACATTCACATCATGGATGTGCAGCTAACAAATCTGCAGCAACTGTGTGATGCTATCATGACAATATGGAGCAAAATCTCAGAGGAATTTTCTAGTGTCTTGTTAATTCAATGCCATGAAGGATTAAGGCAGTTCTGAAGAGAAAAGGGGGTCCAACCTGATACTCGTGAGGTGTACCTAATAAAGTGGCCGGTGAGTGTGTATATACAAATTACAACAACACTGATAAAAGGTTACATAAGTTATGTGAGCTTTTATCAGTGTTGTTGTTATTTCTGTTTTTTTGTACAATGAATGATTAAGAAACATGATTGTACATTCTGCAATGAATATTTACTACAAGTGTTGCCATCAATATAGCCAATGCTGCTGATATGAAAAAATAAAAAATAAATAAATAAAACATCTCTGCATTTGTTCCTGCACATATAGAAGGTAATAGATCTAATGATTGATCAATTGTTGTGTTTGTTGTTGTGTGTCAGTGTGGAGGTGATCCGGCTGGGTCAGAGTAAGTTCATTAACTGGGATCTGCAGATGTACTACGCTGATAAAGACACTCCGGCCAAATCCAGAACCACCACCCTGAACGAGCAGCTGGGCCAGATCGAGTACATCTTCTCGGATAAAACCGGCACGCTCACACAGAACATCATGGCCTTCAAGAAGTGCACCATTTCTGGACGAACTTACGGTGAGGCTTTGACTGACTGATAACCTTACACCTAGGCCTTACTCACACTAGGTACAGTTGCCTCGAACCGGGCCAGAGCACGCTTGTCCTCCCTCCCGTCTCCCCCGATGGCCCGCGCTCACACCATATCGGGCCTCGGCACGCTTACGTCATCGCTGCTACTCTGTTCAGTGAGAAGCGCTCTCTATGGCAAGCCTTTTTAGCATTTAAATCTTTGTTCTGACTCCATAAATATATTTAGAGATATCTCTAATTATATTTCGACTAGTCATAATTATAATTCCACTACTCAGAATGACAATTAGAGATATCTGCAATTGCAATTGTACTAGTACGAAATCAGATTGGAGATATCTGCAAATATATTATGACTAGTCATATTCCTCCATTGAAAAATATTAGCAGATATCTCTAACTGAGTTTTGACTAGTCATAATACATTTGGAGATATCTTTAGTTCGTCATATTTAGAGATATTTACAAATATATTTGAAGATATCTCTAATTAATTTACTAAAAGTCGAATTACAGTTGTAGATACAGTATCTTGAATTGGATTTTTGACAAGTCAAAATTCATTTGGAGATATCTTTAATTACAATTGTGACTAGTCAACTTATTTAGAGATATCTGCAAATATTTTTCAATGGAGGAATATGACTAGTCAGTCATAATATATTTGCAGATATCTCCAATCTGACTAGTCGAATTATAATTATGACAAGTCAAAATATAATTAGAGATATCTCTAAATATATTTATGGATAGTCAGAACATGGTTTAAATGCTAAAACGGCTTGCCATACGCTCTCACCCAGCAGCACAGTGGAGAGTTCTCTAGTTATATCCTTTCAGTCGTTTGTTATGCAGTGACATGCAGTCAAATATTTCGCCAAACAGTCCTTAGGGATCCGGGGACACGCAGTCAGATATTTTACCGGACAGATCCGCCACTTTTGGCGCTCATAAACAATCAAAGCTCTCGTGCTGCAGGAATGAGGAGGTTTGCTGAAGGCGCGCAGCTGACGTGCAGTGAGAGGTTTGCGTCTTTAATAAACGACGGCAGTATGCGATCACTGAACAGTAAGAATGATTAATAAATCCATATGAAACAGCCTCTTAAAAGTCACGTCTCGCTTTCAGTTTCGGGCTTTGGCGCGTTTTGCACTCACACACAAGTGTACCGCGCCAAAGCCCAAGTGATCCGAGCTCAGGCACATCTCTTCCAACCGGGCCAGGGCCGGCCAAGTGAACCGTGCTTGAGCCCGATTCAGCGCACTCACACTTCTCAAACGATCCGGGAAACGGGCCTGGGCACGGTACGGATGGCATAGTGTGAGTAAGCCCTTACACACTGTGTGTGTTTGTTTGTTTATGCATGTATGTATGTGTGTGTGTCTGTAGGTATTCTCATGTGTGTATGTTTGTATGCATATCAAGCGCTCTCCCTCGGGAGGCCAATACGGAAGTAACTGAAACTGCAATTCATCGAAATTCCACTAGTTCTGGCTCCATAATAGAGCAAAGTTTAATTGAGCCCACTGTTAGAATGGCCAACTTTACAGCAGAAAAAAAGATGTTTACAGCCTGGTACAAAGAACGATTTTGGTTCATAAAGCTAATATTACCCTTCATGACAACTGTGAGGGAGTGATTTTTTTTTAATAATTCATCAGTTTCCTCTATATTAGGCTATATTAAGTTTGCATAATTAAGGGCGTGGCCACTTGATTGACAGCTAGGTCTCGCTGGTCTCAGTCACGTCACCTCAGCTGACTAGATTAGCCACTGATTTTGGCATATCCTATTTTTGTTTGGTTTTATGTGGCTTTACACAGTCAGTTGCCTTTTGGGATTATTTCCTACAATTATCAGATGATATGGGATGCTGTGTGCACTAAATTCTGCTCACAAACCATTCACGTGGCCTCCGTTTCCCTTGTGAGTAAAGTTATATACTTGTAAACCGTCTCTATTAATGCATTTGTTTTATTTAAGATCATTTATAATGTTCTTTAGAGCTGTAATGCACTCTAGAATCTGACAGATTGATTAGCTGTGGGCTGTAGAACTGTCGTCTGAAGCGTTGTCATACAGTGTAATGCTGGAATTCATTAATAGCCTTGCATTTACTGACACAGACTATATCTGAAGTGTTTGGAAGTAAATCACGTTTTCCTCCTGTAGGAAAACGTCACAAGAACAATACATAGTGGCTCAATGTATTACTACAGAATTTTTAAAAGTCTAAACACTTAATTGATATAGTGTACAACCAAGCACAAGTGGTCAGAATACAAACGAGTCACAGGTGATAAAGTATTAAGCGTTCTCCCAAAGTAAAGCGCGTCTAAAGACCGGTCCAAGCAAAATGCCAGCAGGTGTCTGTAGCTCCGCTCACTCTCCGCCTCTTTGCCCTTGTTTGGTATCCCGCCGTGGGTGTGATGACGCGCGAACAAAATGGCGACGGTTGGCCACGCCTACTTGTGGCTTCTTTTGCGCTCTTTAGAAACCTATGGGTGACGTCACGGATACTACGTCCATATATTTTACAGTCTATGGTGCATATATATTGTTGTTTTGTTTGTGTAAGCTTGTGTGTGTGTGGTGTGTGTATGTGCGTGCGTGCATGTGTGGTTTTGTGGGTGTGTGTGTGTGTGTTTTAGGTATGTATGTCATATATGTGTTTGTGTGTATGAGAGTGTGTTTGTGGCTCCCATCATGACTCCAGAAATGTGAATGTTTGTGCATGCGTGTCTGTTGGTGGTCTTGTGTGTGTATGTGTGTGAGAGTGTGTGTGTGAGCATGCATGTGTGGTTTTGTGTGTGTGTGTGTGTGTGTGTGGGTTTTATGTATATATGTGTGTGTGTGTGTGTGAGTGAGTGTGTGTTTGTTTGCGGCTCCCATAATGACTCCAGAAGTGTGTGTGTGTGAGCATGCATGTGTGGTTGTGTGTGTGTGTGTGTGTGTGTGTGTGTGTTTGTGGTTCCCATGTCTCAATCAACATGTCAGAGTGTATGTGTGTGTGTGTGTGTGTGTGTGTGTGTGTGTGTGTGTGTTTTTTTCGCATATGTGCTTTTGTATGTATGTGTGTTGTTTGTGTATGCGTATGTGTGTTTTTGTATGTATTTGTGTGTGTTTGTGGTTCCCTTCACTCCAGAAACGTGAGTGTGTGTACGTGCATGTCTGTTTGTACACACACATATTTGTGGCTCCTGTGACTCAGAAACGTGTGTGTGTGTGTGTGTGTGTGTGTGTGTGTGTGTGTGTGTGTGTGTGTGTGTGAGGTAACAGTGTGTGACAGAGAGATTTGAGTGTAGAGTTTCAGAGGTTCTCAGCTTTCTGTGGTTCAGTTCACACCTTTGACCGGAGAGTTCAGGATCAACAGTTGTTTATTCATTATTTATTCTCATTCATGCTCTCATTCACTCCTTTACACGGTGCATTTGTTATGGTTTCTCTATAGAGATATAATTTAGAATTTTACAAAGCACTTGGATTTAAGAAGTATTTAATTTGCCCAAATATAATTATATAGCACCTATTCTAGAAGTCTCTGTAATTGTTTTGTCTTTCAAAGCATTATTTTGTTACTCACAGAGAATATGTTTTCAGTTTATCATTAAAAATGTATTGTGTTCCTCTCTAGGTGAACCTACCACAGCAGACGGCGTGTCTTTAGATCGTGGAAAAGTATGTACAATCATTTATAAATATATATATATTTTTTATATTTATATAAATATATGTGTGTGTATATATGTGTGTTTATATTTTACAATTATGTTTTTTATTTTATATTCATATGTTTATATTTTAGTTTTTTATATATTTGTTTTTTATTATAGAATATGTTATAGAGACTTTATTTTTTTATAATTATTAAAAGTACCTTGTATATTAAGGTATTTTCAATTTATTTATGCAGTTACACATTTATAATTATTGATATATATCTCAGAATTATTAGCCCCCTTCGATTTTTTTATTTTTTTTTCTTCTTCTTTAAAAATTTTTCAAATTATGTTTAACAGAGCAAGGACATTTTCACACTATGTCTGATAATATTTTTTCTTTTGAAGAAAGTCTTATTTGTTTTATTTCGGCTAGAATAAAAGCAGTTTTGAATTTTTTATGAACCATTTCAGGGACAAAATTATTAGCCCCTTTAAGCAATATTTTTTCTTGATAGTCTACGGAACAAACCACTGTTATACAATAATTGCCTAATCCCCCCAACCTACCTAGTTAACTTAATTAATCTAGTTCAGCCTTTAAATGTCACTTTAAGCTGTATAGAAGTGTCTTGATAAATATCTAGTCAAATATTATTTACAGACATCATGGTATAGAAAAAATAAATCAGTTATTAGAGATGAGTTATAAAAATTATTATGTTTAGAAATGTGTTGAAAAAAATCTGCTCTCGATTAAACAGAAATTGGGGAAAAAATAAACAAGCGGTCTAATGATTTAGGGGGGCTAATATTTCTGACTTCAACTGTATATGAAGAGTTCAGATGCAAAAGCTGCTAAACGACACTTCCGCCAAAAATGAGATAATGACATTGAGTGAATGCTTTAGGCATGTAGTACACCATCAACAAATAGATTTGCTTCTAATCATCTAAATAGCAGCTTCAGCGAATTCAGAAAAAAAAGTTTGTTTGCAAAAGCCTCTAACTGCCACTTGCCTTTGACAGCTAAAGCCGCTATATCCAGAGAACCAATCAGAAGGCGCAAATCGAATCATATGTTTTTAATGTAGCAGCGCGCTGATACGCCAGCTTGTATGAGGAGACTGTTTTATTCTGATTTCGGTTTTAAAAGACAGAGTTTGATGAACTGGATGAGCCTGTCCGACTGTCATTGTATGGCAAATGAAAATGTCCCTTGCCTCAAAACTCTGCATTATAAGTAAATGAAAACACACTGTACAGTGAGAAGTGTAACACACATACATACTGGATGTATATGTGTGTACAGGGCTTTACATTAACACCCGCCAAATGCGGGTAGATTTCAGCTCTAGCGGGTTAGACAGACACCTCAACTAGCCACATTGGCTGGTTGGAAATAATTTTTAAATTGTAGTTTTCTTAAAAACAGGGTTTGACAATAAGCATGGCCCAATATTCGTGCGAATGTGATCTAATCGAGAAGCAGCACAACTGACAAAAAATAACTGTGTTCGCATGAGCAAAACAGCAAAAAAGAAGGTAAATACCGAACAAGAGGATGATTGCGCGAAGCAACCGTGCGGAAGCGCAACTGGTGCAATCTGTTCTTTTTGAAACAGACTGGACAAAGAGCGATGATCGTGCACCCACAATCCTGCTGCTTTCAGGAGCTCAAGATTAAAAAAAAATACATGTATTCTTTTGTAAGCAGCAGCGGTCACTGCTTTCATTTGAATTATTCTTTAAACCAGATTATTAAGAGGCCTATATTAATCATGTGCGCGTGATCATCCTTTTATTTTGAAATGGTATGTTTTACCTGCTTTTTTTTTTTGCTTACAGTTATTTTTGTTAATATGGTTTATTATATATTTTTTTACAATAACGTTGCTTTAATCGGAGATTACTCTCCGTTTATGTGTAGTCAACTGTTGATGTGGGACTTTTAGCCAGGACAGATTACTGTGCATATTTTAGATACATGATAATAATTATTTTTTAAAATCTATTTAAAATGTTTTTTTTAAAGAAAAGTTTTGTTGAATTAAAAAGGGCACCTATAAAGCTATGTTCTCCTTGTTTTGACACATTAGAAAATTGTGGCTAAGAGTGCTTTCACACCGACACTTTTGTTTCGGAATCTGTCTCGTTTGCCCAGTTAGTGCGGTTCGTTTGGCATATGTGAATCCACCAATCACTCTCGGATCCGCGCCAAATAAATCGCTCCGAGATCGCTTGAATGAGGTGGTCTCGGCTCGGTTGAAACGAACTCTGGAGCGGATCGATTGCAGTGAGAAAGGGATACGATCCGAGCACGGTTATATCACTGTGTTTTATGGATATGTAATAGGCATACGGCTATATGAAGAGAGAATTATGAGTAGGGCGGGAAGTTTCGCGAGTCATCAGATGCCTGCAAACGAGTGATGATCTCCCGGTAATCTCGCGTCTCCCTCCCGGTCCTCAAATAGGCTACGTTGCGCACCCTTCTAGATTCACAGGTGTGAAAGCACCTTAAGAAATACTTTGGTAAATCCTTCACTTTGAACCCTGAAAAAACCCTGTGAAATAAAAACTGATTGCATTGCGGCACAACCCATTTGCTCATGCACACTGAGCAAGCTAATGCTAATAAAGCTAATAATAATAAAGGAGGCATGTGGACATAACACAACGTCTAAATCAAGTCAAGGCATGTCAAAGTCAAATTTATTCATATAAAATATATTTTCCCAACAAGAAAAATGTGGCTAGTGAAAATGGCGAGTGGCTAGTAATGTTGAAAATCTACTAGCCACAGTGGCTGGTGATCAAAAAAGTTAATGTCAAGCCCTGTGTGTGTGTGTATATCTATATGTATATGTGTGTATGGTCTTTCTATGGATCATTCCTCTCCACACATCACGTTGACTAGCTTTGCTTTAGCTGCAGTGTTGATATCCCTCCTTTTCCGGATGGCATTCATGTTCACCATTGCATTCCGTCCAACGGTTGACCGTCTCTTGATTTTAGGTTCTGTGTCCCCATTTGTGGAACCAAGGAATATGAAGTCCTGTACTGACTCTATAAAATGTATTATAATTATTTATTAATCAAGCAAGTGTATGTATTATTGTATTACTAGTGTGGAATTTTAGTTAGTTTTTTTCTTGTATCTCTAAAGTTGTAAATGTTTTTTTTTTATCCACAGCCTGTAGATTTCAGTTGGAATAAATATGCGGACAGGAAGTTCCAGTTTGAAGATCATTTCCTCATTTCCTGTATCCGCTCGAAGAAGGACCCACAGGTTCTGGAGTTCTTCAAACTGCTGTCTTTGTGTCACACCGTCATGGTGGAGGAGAAAGAGGGTGAGCAGAAAAAACTACACACATTTCCCAGTGCTAGAAAACACCCATACACACTCATTCACACTCATACACTATGGCCATTTTAGTTTGTTCAATTCAACTGTACTGCATGTGTTTGGACTGTGGAGGAAACCGACACACCATCACACCAACCGGAAGAAACTCACACCAACACAGGGAGAACATGCAAACTCTTGCTGTGAGGCGACAGTGCTAACCATTCTTCATGCGTCCTTTATTCTTTACACGACGTCCTCCACGTTTTCCCCTGTAAATGACTCCGTTTTCCCTGTGTTGCGTTCAGGTGAGCTGGTGTACCAGGCGGCGTCTCCAGATGAGGGCGCTCTGGTCACAGCAGCACGAAACTTCGGCTTTGTCTTCCTGTCGCGAACTCAAGACACCATCACCATCCAGGAGATGGACAAACCACAGACCTACACCATGCTGGCGCTGCTGGACTTCAACAGTGACCGCAAACGCATGTCCATCATCTGTGAGTATCACACAATATGCAGACAGTGTACATTATTACTGTTATTATTATTATTATTATTCATTTATTATTACTTTTATTATTATTATTTTTATTGCTACTACTTAACTTAAAATTTTAGTGCGTCGACACATGACACCCCAGTTCGATTCCACCTTGTAGTCCTTTACAGATCCTTCCCCTCTTTCTGCTCCCAATGCTTTCCTGTAAATTTTCTCTACTTTCCTATCCAAAATAAAAGTGAACCCCCCCCCCCATTCAATTTTTTTTTAGCATTTTAATCAACAGTGAATCATTTTGTTTTGTTTTTTGTTTTTTGTTTTATTTTGTATTTTATTTTATATTTAAAATTTTACAATATATTGTATATTGTATTGTTTTTTTTAATTTAATTTATTTTTATTATTTAATTTTAGATTAAACTTTTTTTTTAGTATTTACTTTTTTATTTTTATTTTTTATGTTTTGTTATTTTTTTGGTTTATTTCATTTTATTAAAAATAACAGAATTAAAATAGTAATAAAATATTTTTTTGTCTTAAAATATTTTATATTTTATATTTTAAATTATAAATTTTATATTTAATTTAACTTTATTATTCGTTCATTCATTTTCTTTTCTTTTCGGCTTAGTCCCTTTATTAATCTGGGGTTGCCACAGCGGAATGAACCTCCAACTTATCCATCATATGTTTTACGCAGCGGATGCCCTTCCAGCCGCAACCCATCACCGGGAAACACCCGTACACTCTCGTTCACACATACACTATGGACAATTTTAGCTTACCCAATTCCCCTGTACCGCATGTGTTTGGACTTGTGTCCGGGAAGCCTTAGCACCCGGAGAAAACCCACGCGAACGCAGGGAGAACATACAAAATTCACACAGAAATGCCAACTCACCCTGCTGAGGCTTGAACCAGCGACCTTCTTGCTGTGAGGCGATAGCACTACCTACTGTGCCATCGCGTCGCCCTCTACTTTTATTATTATTTTGTTTATATATTTACATATATGTATTTTATATTTTATTTTGTATCTTTTTTTCATATTTTACATTATAATTGTAAAATTTATATTACATTTTATTTTATTTATTTATTTATTTAGTTTATTTTATTTTATCTCGCGTCCTAAAAATAATACTATTAGAGTAATAATAATTCTTAGACTTGTTTTTTTGTCTTAAAAAATTAAGATATTTATTCATTCATTCATTCATTTTTTTTGGCTTAGTCCCTTTATTATTCAGGGGTACTAGAAAAGAATGAACCGCCAACTTATCCAGCATATGTTTTATGCAGCGGAAGCCCTTCCAGATGCAACCCATTACTAAAAAAACACCCAAACACACTTATTCACAACCATACACTCCAGACAATTTAGCTTACCCAATTCACCTATAGCGCATGTCTTTGGACTGTGGGGGAAACCGGAGCACCTGGAGGAAACCTACGCCAAAAACTAACCCAGCTAGGGCTCAAACCAGCGACATTCTTACTGTGCGATCATGCTACCCACTGCGCCACCTTGAAGCCCATCTATCTAAATATTGAATCTTTTGTCCTCCTGTGTTTGTGTACAGTGAAGTTTCCGGATGGCCGTATTCGTCTCTACTGTAAAGGTGCAGACACTGTGATCTACCAGAGACTTTCTCCACAAAGCAAGAATAAAGAAAACACACAAGAAGCTCTGGACGTGAGTATTTTTGATGAACACATTTGCATATATATTGTCATTTGCACTTGTATTCGGGTATTTATTAATTTAGTGCATTTGTTTGTATTTATTTTAGTGTAAGTATAATTTATTTATGATGTTTGTTATTGTTTTTATGTGAATTTATATGTTGTTTTTTATTTTAATTTTAGTTTTAAATGCAAATGGCATCTTTAAAAAATAATGCAAAAAAAAATAATATTGATGAATTTTAAATGCAAATGTCATGTGTAAAAAAAAAAGAGTAAATCAATGAAACAAATCAATAAATAAAATAAATAAATGGAAAATAAATAAAAATAAATAAAAAACAGAATCAAGATAAATGAATAATAAAAGTAAACAAGTGAATAAATAAAATTAATAAATAAATTAATTCTTAAAATGTCTATATAAATGCAAATAAATAAAAATAATCAATAAAAACAAATAAAAATAACGAAATTTAATTAAATTAATTAAAAATAATACTAATAAATGAAATGTATAAATTAAAATGAATGAAAATAAATATTTCTGGAGTCATCATGATGACACTAATGCATTTATTGAGCAGTGCAGGGGCCCGCATTTACAATTGTTTAGCTATAAAGCAGAGCAGTGTGTACTTATGTAAGTGTTTAGGTGTGTGTGTGTGTGTGTGTGTTAAGTGTGTTTGTCATTTCTCCACAGATCTTTGCGAATGAGACTCTGCGGACTCTGTGTCTCTGCTATAAAGACATCAGTCAGGAGGAGTTTGACAGGTGGTCTAGAAAACATCAGACCGCAGCCGTTTCAATGGTGGACCGAGAACGAGAGCTGGATGAGGTTTATGAGGAAATCGAGAAAGACCTGCTGGTATGAGCACTGCAGTACATTTACACACACGATTGATCAGTGTGTTGTCTATTGCTAAATATGTGCTGGTATACATAAAGGTCCCATGAAGTGCTTTGAAATGTGCATTTTTTAATTTAAGTTTGACGTAACCTCTGAAACATAAAGAGAGGGCGGGACATACCATAACTCCTCCCCTTTTAAAAAAAACAGCCAATAGTGTTTTTTTTTAATCAGCGCTCTGCCCGTAAGAGTGGTTGAGCTCATGTGCATCAAATAAAAAGCAAATGAGACGAAGGAGGCGGGGTATTTCAGATGCTAGAGAGAATTTGATTGGTCAGAAGATTTGATGAGAAAATGAAGTATGAGGTGATGACAAAAAAATAGTTGATCCATTTAGTCGGAAATGACAAACTGCTAGTGATGGCAAGTTCGGATCATTTTACTGACTCGGATCTTTAAGTCTCGTTCATCGAGATGAACGAATCTTTTTTCGAGTCATTACGTTCATTGGTTCAATTTGCCAAAATATTATTAAAATGTTACGAACTGCTTCCAGACACATCTACATCTAGCCCAAAAGGTTGATCACAGGACAAATAAGTCATAAATACGATAGAATAAGAAGGAGAAAATAATAATTCAATGTTTACCTGCTCTTTTGTCTATGAAAGGTATTGTTGTCTCTATCCCCAGCTCACCTCTTCATGTCTTCAAACGGTTCGTTTACGTTACACTGGCAGTCACATATAATCTTAACCAGTGTTCAGTCTGAGTCGATAGGAGCCATGATAATTAGTTCACCTTTCGAGTCTTCTGGTAGAGATCTGCGCGGGACTAAATTTTGAATCCCGCTCCCGCCCGCACCCGCCAGGTTTTAGCCCAAACCCGACCGCTACCGCTTATATTAAGAATTTATTGTCCCGCTGCCCGACCTGCCCCATTTTCTGGCCGCCGCGCCCGATCCCGCTAAAGAGCGGGGGAGAACAAAACCGAAAATCCCCCAGCTATACAGTCCAAACAGCCAGGCTGTCTGTATAAACACACAAAGCACCAAGCACACACACACAGACAAATCTCTCTCTCTCTCATACACGCGCACACTAACACACACACAAGCACCAAGCAGACACACAGGCGTTTGCTGTTAACGTTATATCAACTCAAAGGCTTGTAATACCATGTATCAAGTACCAATGTTATACCAAAAGGTTTTATATAAAGGTATATAAATACTGAGTCGCGCCAGCTCCGGGCCGCAGCGCACATTACTTTCGGGCCGATTCGGGCAGTGAGTCTGTATTTAAGATCTGCAAAAAAATTACTATGTTTAAATTTTTTTACATTTATTCAGACTCTTTAATGACAAAATGATAATAGTGTAATATGTTTAATGTCAAAGTATGTTATTTATAGTTGTGTATGTATTTATTGTATGTTTTTATTGATTGCTAATTGAAAAATTGTGTGATTTGTTTAGCTGATTGGGGCGACGGCCATTGAAGACAAACTTCAGGACGGCGTTCCTGAAACCATCGCAAAACTGGCCAAAGCGGATATTAAGATCTGGGTTCTGACCGGAGACAAGAAAGGTGAGCGATGGACATGTAGAATATTAATGTATTTTACAGCAGATGGATTTTTATTAACGTTAATTGTGTTTTTATGTGTTTAGAAACAGCGGAGAACATCGGCTACTCCTGTCAGCTGCTGACAGACGACATGAAGATCCACTATGGAGAAGACGTCAAGTATGATTCATTCATTTATTCATTCCCCGTTCATTCATCTATATATTTATTCATTGATTTTCTTTATTTATCCATTCATGAATTCTTCCATTCATTCGTCCATTAATTAATTCATTCATTCCATCCTGTATCCATCCATTCATGATCCATCATTCATTCATTCATTCATTCATCCATCTATTCTGTCTTTTTTCATCCGTTGAATTTTTTCATTCATCATTCATCAATTTATTCATCCATTAATTAATTAATTCATTCATTCTATCCTCCATTTATCCATCCATCCACCCATTTGTCCATCATTCGTTCACCTATCCATCCATCCATCCATCTATTCTTTCAGTCATTCATTAATTTCATCCTCCATCCATCATTCATCTGTTTGTTCATTCATTCACTCATTTATGTTCATACATTCATTGATCCATTGATTTCTTCCTTCCTTCCTTCCTTCCTTTCTTCCTACCTTCCTTCCTTCCTTCATTCATCCATCCATCCATCCATCCATTCATTCATTCATTCATTCATTCATTCGCCCATCTATTCTCTCACTCATTCATTGATTTATCCATTTATTCATCCATTGATTGATTAATTCATTCATTCATCAATTTATCCGTCCATTCATTCATCAATTCATTCATTTATTCATTCATTCACCCGTTCAATCGTTCATTCATTCATTCATTCATTCATTCATTCATTCATACATACATCTATCCATTCATTCTATACCCCATTCATCCATCCATGATTCATCTCTTTATTCAGTCATTCACTCATTTATCACTTATTATCATCCATTCATTGATCCATCGATTCCTTCCTTCATTCATTTATCCATCTATTCATTCATCCATTGATTTATCAATTCACCCATCTATTCACTCACTCATTCATAGATTTATCAATTAATTCATTCATTCATTCACCCGTTCAATCCTTCATTCATCCATCCATTTATTCACCCATCCCTCCATCCATCTATCTATTCTTTCAGTCATTCATTAATTTCATCCTCCATCCATCATTCATCTTTTCATTAATTAATTAATTAATTTATTTATTTATTCCTTCACTCATTTATCTGTTCATCCATTCATAAATATATATTGATTTCTTCCTTCATTCATTCATTCATTCATTCATTTTTTTAATTCATCCAACCATCCATCCATTGATTTCTTCATCCGTCCATCTCTTCATTGATTTCTTCATTTATTCCTCCATTCCTCCTTCCGTTCATCCATGCCTCCCATCCTTTCATTCATTCATTCATCCATCCATGCATTCATCCATTGATTTCGTCATCCATCCATCCTTCCATCCACTTCATTGACATTCATTCGTTCATTCATTCATAACTTATCCATATATTGATTTCTTCATCCATCCCTCCATCCATCCACTGTATCCACTTCCTTCCTTCCTTCCTTCCTTCCTTCCTTCATGATCATACGTGATTTACTGTATGATTTAACATCCACAAACCGGAACTGAAGTGATATTTCTGCCCAAACAGCTTCCAAAAGTTGATTTTGCATGATAGGTAAATAGACTAAAATGAAGTTAAATACAGTTGTTTCACCTCTTTCTCTGTCAGTGTTCAGCTGAGGAACAGACAGACTCAGAGACGCACTGACCCGCAGAGCCGAAACAAGAAGCAGAAGGAGTCGTTCTTCAATGAGCCGGGCAAAAACGCTCTCATCATCACTGGAGGATGGCTGGTACGATCAGCACACACATACACTCAACAGCTCTTCTTTACAGTGTACATCATGCTTTTTAAGTGTGTACATCACATAATCTAAAATATATAGACAAAAACACTAGTAATATTTGAGCAATTATGGTGAAGTTTAGGGTCTGATTGATTGATTGATATATGAAAATAATCATTCAAATATTTGATAATATGATAATAATTATACTTAACATAAATGTCAAAGTCATGTCGAAAATCTAAAAGAATATATCATTGATGATGTCAGAATGAGATCCTGTATGAGAAGAAGAAGAAGCGTCGTCGTCTGCGTCTGAAGAAGCTGCGGCTGCGGCAGAATAACCAGCAGTCCAGCAGCAGCACGGCTCCAGACAGCAGCCAGCCGGTGGACGACTGGGAGAAGGAGAAGCGGCAGGAGGATTTCGTGGATATGGCCTGTGAATGCAGCGCCGTCATCTGCTGCCGCGTCACGCCCAAGCAGAAGGCCAACGTCGTCAGCCTTGTCAAGAAGTACAAGAAAGCTGTGACTCTGTCTATCGGAGACGGAGCTAATGACGTCAACATGATCAAGAGTGAGTCTAGTCTAGTGAGACTAATGTTGTATAGGTGTATGTTTCTAGCAAAAGACATATATATATATATATATATATATATATATATATATATATATGTATGTATGTATGTATGTATGTATGTATATATATATATATATATATATGTATGTATGTATATATATATATATGTATTTATGTATATATATATATATATATATGTATGTATGTATATATATACAGCGGGGAAAATAAGTATTTGACACATCAGCATTTTTATCAGTAAGGGGATTTCTAAGTGGGCTACTGACACAAAATTCCTACCAGATGTAGCCATCAAGCCAAATATTGAATTCATACAAAGAAATCAGAACATTTAAGTATACAAGTTGAGTCATAATAAATAAAGTGAAATGACACAGGGAATAAGTATTGAACACATGAAGATAACAAGGTGCAAAATGGCATAGAAAGTCAGGAGATCTGTCAGTATTGAGAGAAAAACCCTGCTCCCTATCAGTACTA